ATCTCTTATGGGAGAAAGGAAGTTCATGCTGTGTTTAGCTTCACCCAAGCAAGCAGACTTTCTAAGGCAGTCACCTCAGCAATTGCAGGAGAGAGAGCGGAAATTGGCAGGGCACCCCGAAAGCTGTGAGTGTGTCTGCGCACAAGAAAAGCCCCTTGCTTATATAACATCTCTCGGTCATACAGAGGGAAGTAGAACCTCCCCAAGATTCTGATGAGGAAATTGAAAAGATGGATCAAGAGAGGCAACAACTCACACAAACAAATAAGTCATTATGGGATGCAGTTGCCATATTGGAGAGATTTCAGAATACACCAGAAGCAAAAAATGAAAACCTAAGTGGTTCAATAAACATTATGCTAGCAGAGGTTCCTGCTTTGGAAAAGGAAGAGACTGATAAACAGCCTGACCTGGTTTATGGAGTCAACTTAAGCTATGCTAGAAGTTATAAATTTCCGAGGGAGAATGGATAACTCTAAGGGAATGTTATATCTTGAAGGATATGATTTACAGACAGGATGGCATGCTTATATGTGGCAAGGGTATTGACATTTCTTGGTGGCATAAAGTTCCAATATGATCGAGGTATGTGAAGACTATAGAATATATGATCTTATAAAGGAATTACCAACATTTAATTAAATGATTTCAAAATTGGATGAAAGAATGATTAAAGGATTGTATAACTTCCTTTTGGTTATAAAAATGAAAGATGAATGAGTGAAGGAAACTATGATAATATGGGCATAAAATGTTGGACATAATACTGAGTTACAGAAATGGCAAAAGCTGTGGGAAAGAAATATTAAGGTAATCTTAGCAACTTTGTACAAAGAAAACTTATATACATGTTTTATAGTTAGATAGATAGATAGACGTAAATGTCTTATAGATAGCTCTTATCCCTAAATAGATTAGTAAAAATGTTTTCAAATATGTCAAATACCTGTTGGAAAAGTAAACACAAATTTAAACCCAAAGACTTTTCTCTTTTTCCTATTAGATATTATTCTTAATGATTTTGATAAACAGGCTATATATTTGATCTTACATGTAATTACTGTGGCAAGGATTCTATTTGCTCATTACAGGAGGAGTGAAGAGCCACGCACTGAAGAGTTGATCTTAAAAAGGATTTTGAACTGCACAGAAAGGGACAGATTGACCTTGTCTCTGAAGGAGAAGGAGGACACATATCTCTACCAAACTTGGAACTCTTTTTATTATTAGCTAGAGAAACGGAACTATGCGTAGATTTGGATATAGCTACTGACTGTTAAAATGAGGACGATGTCAACCCAGTATATCCGATGTCTTAAATAACTGTTGTTTTTAAAGTTAGATTGTAGAGAATATAATAAAGTTTATTTATTTAGAAATGGAATAAAGTTACTGCACACCCACTTGGATGGAATGGATGGTTCTCTCTCAGCAACATCTGCTCTAGGGTTTTCAGCTTTTCAATATCCATCCTACTTCGGTTGCGCATGGGGTACACCCCCATAACTTCCTCTGGAAAAACTGGTTTTATTTATTTAAAACATTTTTATGCCGCCCCCATCACAACAAAGCCTCGGGGAGGTTTGAGGAAGATGGAAGCATGATGATTCTTTCCATGGCTGAGTCATTTCAGAACCTCTTCTCAGGACAAGGGGTCAGACTCCTGCAAGGGGAATCCTTCCCTGGCAACTGATCAAGCAGTTCTTTGGCAATCTGGTGGGAGTACAATTTGGATGGGGAAGGCAGAGTGTGTGGGTGTCAAACCCTCCCAATAGTTGAGATGAGAAAATCTTCTGCATGCATCCGAGGGAGTGGGGGACGTTCTCTCTCTCCTCATGCACGAGACACAGAAAGGGTGGGGGGGATGCCCTCAGGCAGCAGAGTGTCTTGGTCCAGCCCACCGGCCTCTTCAACAACGCCCCTCTCAGGCAGGCAGCCCCTGCCTGCCTCTGGCACTACATACAGTCCGGGGTGGGTGGGGGGGGGCGAGATTATCCGCCCTGCCTGTAGGACAGGAAGAATGGGGATCTGCCCTAACATTTAGGCAGAGCAGCAGCAACGTCTGTGGAGACAGGCCCCTGCCCTCACTTTTCAGCCCCGACTTTCCCTGGGCCCCCGAGGTTGTTCTGCGTGCAGCCATGCCTCTTCCGCGCAAATGGGACCTCTCTCGCTGGCCGATCACATAAGGCACAGGTTGTGGAGGCGTGTCAGTCCCTGGTGCACGATGCTACTGGCCACGGTCAGACTACTTTGCCACTTCTGTGTAGATTACCTCCTGCGTTCGGGGTTGTGGGAGGGCATGGCCATGGGGAGCAACGTTGTCATAGATGGCCTGCTCCCTCTGATCCGAAAAGGCCAGCGTGGCATAAGAAACCTCCTCCCTCTTCTCCAAAGCCTGCAACAGAAAGCACGAGTGTGAGACCGAGCACTGGCAATGCACCCAGTTACCCAGGGAGGGCATGGGCTGCCCCACACTGGAGGCTTCGAGTTGTCAGGGATGCGTAACCGGGGAGTTCTGCACTGAACAGAATGATGGACCCAATGGCTTAATTGTTCCCCCCCTAATCTGCTATTCTAGCATGGACTCAAAGAATCTTGTAGCCCAAATCACGTCAGCATCTGGGTGGTGATCAGGAGTGATGTTCTCAGTGAAGGCATCTTCTCTACGGAATGTAGAAAGGTGGGCTGGTGAGAACTGAGCTCAGTGTAGGGAGGACTCCACTGGCCCATGGACAGTATCTGAAGGGCTGTAGGTATTTTAGATTCCCAGCTTCTCTGTTAAAGGCAGCTCTCTGACCTTTGAGCTGAAGCAGAGCTCTTCCTCTGCCCCCTCCCCAGCCCCTCACTACCTTTCAGCAGAGGAAAACTTTGCAGAAGCTGAGAGACCCCCAAATGGTGTGTATTGGCAGGATGGGGAAGGGGGGACCTCTGAGTGGGTCCCCAGATGAGGCAGGTTTGGCCTTTGAGCCCGCGTTCCACACCCCTGCACTGCAGA